TCGATCGTTCTATTGATATCCTGCCCTCACTGGGCTCTCCATGACCAACCCATGGATCGCTCTATTGATCACTCACCTGTCGGTCGCTCCCGGTACCTGCCGGTCTCTCGCAGCACCAGATCCCGCTGCCCAGAGCCCTCAGCCGGCCGCTACCACCCCTCAGCCCCGTGGCTGTCCATGGCCCTGCCCTGCCCCCGGCCTGGCCCCGCTCCTATTTAAGGCCACCCCGGTCCCGGTTAACGTTTGACTCCGGATCCGGCCATGGGTCGGTGGAGACGCTCTCGGGGCGGAAACGCCGGTGCTGACCACGCCGGGCCCACCCGGCGACACCCAACGGCTGCCCCTCCATCCCACCAAATCCATCCTCTTCCTCGCCCTGGAAGCCCCCAGACCCCGGCAGATGGGGACCCCCGGCCCCTCCGGCCCGTTCTGCCCCTCCAGGGTGGATCATTGATGAGGCAAAGTCCCGGGGGCCCTGAACCGCATCCCTGGGAGCCCCTTGGACCCCGGGCAGGAGGGCGGCGGGAGCAGCGGAGCGTGGGCGGTGACGGGGGGAGCCGGACACCCGGATTGGCACCGGCTGGGTCAGGGGACAGGAGGGAACGGCGTGGGCTGCGTGTCCGGACATGTGGATCCTCGGGATCTGTAGATCCTTGGCACTTCTGGGACATCTCGTGGCATCCCTGCGTCCTCAGAGTGTCGGGATCCTTGGGATGCCTGGGGGTCTGGATCCCTGGGATCCTGGGTCCCTGGACATTCCGGCACCAGAGTCCTTGGTCCTCGGGATCCCAGGGTCTTTGGGATCCTCCGGATCCCTGAGCTCTTGGGATGTCTGGGCACCCTGGAGCCTGCGACCTTGGGCCCCTGGGATCCCTGGACATCCAAGCACCTGAATCCTTGAGATCCTGGGACCTTGGGATGTCCAGGAACAGGGTTTGCGGGTCCTTGGGATCCCTGGGCACCCAGACATGGGGGGGATTCTTTGGGATCCCCCATCCTCGGGATCTCTGGATCCTCGGGATCCCCCATCCTCGGGACCCCAGATCCTTCCCGCACTCTCTCCTGAGATTGTCCGTCCCCGGCAGCTCCGGCCGAGGGGGGAAGGGCCGGGCGGGGGTCCCGCGGTGCCGAGGCCGCAGTGTCCCGCTGGCTTCGTGTTTTCCTTCGGGGCGGGACAGGTCCGGCTGCGCAGGACCCCCCGCGGCCGTGGGAAAACAACCCCCGCCCCCACCCCCGCCCCCACCGGCCGCGTTTCACACGAGTTTTGCTTTTATTGTTTTTTATTCCAGCACCGCCGAACCCTTCTCCATGCAGCGGTTTCGGGGGGCTCCAGCGTCCCCCCCAACTCTGCAGGGAGGGGAGACCTGGGTCCTTGTGGTCACTGTTGTCCCTCTGCTCTTCAGGGGGGGTTTGAACCCCCTCCACCCCCCAAATCCCCAAATCCTGCTCCTTCATCCGGCGGGAGCATCGAGGGCTGCAGATTTTGGGGGTCCCCTGGTGGGGGTTGGCACTAACGGGGCCCTGTGGAGTTGCTGGACTGGGTGGGCTGGAGCAGGACCTGGAGATGTTGGGCTTCGTCCTTCTGGGGTTGTGTCCTGGTGGGGAGGGAGGGATGGGTGGGGGTTTGAAGGGAACAGGGGGGTTTTCATGGTGTTGGTCCATCCCATCCCATCCATCCATCCATCCATCCATCCATCATCCATCCGTCCATCCATCATCCATCCATCCATCCATCATCCATCCATCATCCATCCATCCATCATCCATCATCCATCCATCCATCATCCATCCATCCATCCATCCATCATCCATCATCCATCATCCATCCATCATCCATCCATCCATCCATCATCCATCATCCATCATCCATCATCCATCCATCCATCATCCATCCATCCATCATCCATCATCCATCATCCATC